AAAAAGAAAAAAAAACTTATTTGTTAAATTTAAACAAGTTTCAGATTCAATATTTATGAAATTCTTATCAAATGAAGTACTGATAACATACAAAATTATTCCAAAATATAGTTAATAACTGCATGTATAAATAGAAGCAAATATATACATCTACTATAAATGTGATCAGAATGAAAAGATTTTAAATTTTACAAATAAATTTGTAAATCATGAAAATTGCTAAGAAAATAGAGTTTAATGAAAGTTGAATTTTTTTTTTCTATATTAAATTCAAGTTGAAGATCTTCATATAATTCTACCGAAATGAACAACCAATATAAGAGAAAATTAATAATTTTATATAGTTAAGGAATTTTTTTTTAATATCCCTGATATTAAAATTTTACAAGATAAAAGACATACAATATTTTCATAGTAGTTTAGGTTCCTTAATATTTTCACAGAGAAAATTCGACTCAGAGAAATTTCACCCGACTTAGAGAAATTTCAGCTCTGATACAAAAATTTCTTTGATTTCACAAAGAAATTTTGAAAGAAAAATTTAATCGAGTGACCTTAACTAATAAAAAAAAATCTTAAATTTATCTTATTACACAAAGTTGGAAGATATTTCACTAATTTTCTTTATAATTAAATGGTAGATTGGCAGGTAATTAATATGAAATTCGAGTCTAAGATCTTCGAGTACTGCTTGGAAGTCCCAAGCTCATGTATTGACCAGGAATTACCAATGTTGAGATTGATTTATGAGTAAGGTTATCTGTAATACCCCGACCCTCCTACATGTTTTCTGGTATGCTTTCAGTCCCTTACTATGTGCATTTACATGTTTCATGCCAAATTCCCTGTGGAATTAAGTTTAATTGTGTGAATCTTACGCTTATAGATTTATATCTGTTTATTATGAGAAATACCTGTTACAAGTGTGATGTCTGGATCAGTAATTGAAAGCCTTAAACGCTTAATAATCCGAAATTAACTTTATAATTGTGATCAACATGATTTTTAGATTATAACATGCGTTTTTGTAAAAATTCGAATCGGAATGACTAAATTTATTAATTTATAAAAAATATTTACATAGTCTCTTGAACTTCCTTTTTGGGGTCACTTGACATATCACTTAGAAATATCTTCTGAGAGAGAGAAGAAGAGAGTGTAGAGGGGGAAAGAAGGTAGAGAAAATCTCAATAAGGAAGAAGATTGGGAAATTGAAGAGGATTGAGGAGTTTTGAACCCAAGGTATGTATATCTACTTTGAATAACCTCTTTCTTGGATTTGGGTAGGAATCTCTTGGCACTCTCGAGAATTAGGGTTTGTAATTGAGAATATGTATGTGTTAATTATTGGGTTGGAGTGATGTTCCCGTCATTTCGTTATTTGGAATCATTTGGAGTTATATAGAAGGGTTATATCTCATTCCTTGATTTCTCATGTTGACTTCTCATGATTGTACATATATTGTTTATATATCAATGATAACCATGATCACAAAGGAATTAAGTTGTGTTTATGAGGTTGAAGGGATTAAAACAAACCTAATTGAACTTATGAGTCATGTTTATGGAGTTGTTATATCCTAAAGTTACATTAATGTCCCCCTTCTTCTACTCTTTAATGTGATTGTTTTATTGAAATTGTGCTTTGATCCGGACTGCCCAAAACAGGGACAACGACCGCACGTGCGGGGGTCATGGCCGCACATGCAGGAAGCACCACTGCACGTGCGGGGCTCACAGCCACGTGCGGAAAACAGGGGTTTTCGAATTGAAGCTACAGGAATAAAAACACGTGCGGGGCGCATGTGCGGCCCATCTTCCCGCACGTACGGCGAAGGCTCTCCGCATGTGCGGCCCAGGTGGAAAAATTATGCGGGCTCCGTTTTCTTTGTTTGACCCTCTGAGATTTCTGAAAAGTGTATTTGAAGTATTTAAAATGCTTACAATTAAATGTATGTCGAACAAAACGAATATTGATTAAAAGGAAAAAAATGGGACTAATCTCTGAACTACTTGTGTGTAGGTCACATACTGGAAGGAACTATAGTAGCATCACAGCACTGTGAGTAATAGTACTGTAATGACATGCTTCGTTTATTGTTAATAGCTCTTATTAACGTTCTGTTCTCTATAAGTTAATTATGTCGTGCCATGTTGAACAAGTGGAAACTTATATGTGTTATTGAACGATGAGATCCTTAAGAACTTGAAATTATTCTGCTTTGTTAATGATGGGCCTGAGGCCGTTCAGTTATCAGACACTGAATGTGGACAACTCTGGAACTGAGGGAGGTGAAGACACGTCGATGTCTCACCAACCCTAATCTGATTCGGATTGATTATGGTTCAAGGCCTATGGCCGAGGGAGGTAGTGTACATGTCGATGTCCTACCTACCCTCAAATATGTAAACAGCTGTTGATATGTGGGCCCAAGGTCATTCTGTATAATATGTTGGGCCTAAGGTCATTTTGTATGATATTTGGCCCGAGGCCGTTCTGTAACTATTGGGCCTAAGGCCGTTTTGGAAGTGTTTACAGAACAAGATCAATTATGTAACCTATATGTTCATGTGCATTGTAATTCATAAAGGTTCATCTGAAATTTCTTACATACTATTATTCATTGAGCCATGCTCACTCCATGTTATGTCTGTCTCTGTAGGTAATCAACTCGGTGACCAGTTTTAGTCCAGCTTTGGCAGCTTTTCTTTTGTTAACCCCGTGGAGCCTAAGCAGCTGGATGAGGCCTCTTTATTTTTGTGAAGTCCTATCCTAACTCCTAGCTTTAGCTTGGACCTTTGCCAAGTACTGTTAAGCATGTATAACCTCCACTACTAATATCTTGATTATACCCTAGTTATAGGGTTGGGACTGTATGTATATGCCTGTATATAGCTATCACTTATGGGTATGCTTTATTTTGCATAGATTCAGGTTATGAGTTGTTCGGTGATCCAGGCATGTAGACGTTAGCTCGATGGATGTTATTTCAAATTGATAATTTCTTCCGTTCAGGCCCCATAATGTATAATTATTGAGTTTTGGCGACTGTTAGCGAGTTGGTCATGCCCAAACTTCTAAGGGCGGGTTTAGGGCGTGACAAGTGGTATCAGAGCATGAGTTTCTATCTCAAACACGAAACCATTGAGCTTTAGGGTGCCTAGAAAAGACTTAGGCATTATTCATGACGTTTTGGTGCATATGAAATGATTGATAGCAACGTGATTTGTATCTGTAATATCTGCTAACAAGTATTTCACAATGGTTATTATCCATGTTTATTTGTACATCTCTGGTGAATACTGTAATTAATTGTTATGTAGATTATGGTGAGAACAAGGACAGATGATCCGGAGGGCTCTACCTCCTCGTGGTTAGACAGAATGGAAAGAATGAATATAGAGATGGCGGAGACATTACGGCAACAACAACTACAGCAGCAGTCACAACCACAACCACCACCGCCACTGGTACCTCCGCCCGTGGTGCAAGATTATCATGCTGAGGACCGAACTATCACGCTTACAAAGGAATTCAAGAAGATGAAGCCACCAACCTTTAAAGGGGGAATTGATCCGATGAAAGTTGAAGCCTGGGTGTTAGGTGTAGAGAAGCTATTTGAGGTGTTTCCATGCACTGAAGCTCTGAAGGTACAACTGGCTACTTTCACTCTGGAAGACGAAGCTCGTAGGTGGTGGATGCTTACAAGAACTGAACACCAAGAGTTGACCTGGACCCAATTTCTAGAACTCTTCAATGACAAGTATTTTTCGCAGTGTATGCGAGATAAAAGGGTGACTGAATTTGAGACTCTCAGACAAGGGAACAAGACTGTTACGGAGTATGAAGCCCAATTTGCAGAACTAGCCCGGTTTGCACCTCACATAGTGGATACGGATTACAAGAAGGCGAGAAAGTTCGAGGGGGGACTACGAAATGCTATCCTTGATCGAATCAATGTGTTGAAGCTACCCACATATGTTGAGGTGTTAGAGAAAACTGTCATGGCGGAGGGAAATATTGCTGCTCAGAATCGAATTTCCGAGTGGAAAGGAAAGAGGCAGAATATTCAGTTATCAAAGGGCTCAACCACTCCAAACAAGAAACAGAACTCAGGAACTTCTAGTGCTTCCACCCCTACTCGAGACTCCGCTCCCGTTTGTGCAGATTGTGGAAAGAAGCATCAGGGAACTTGTCATCGGTTAATTGGGGCATGTTTTAGGTGTGGTAAAACGGGTCATCTGGTTAAGGATTGTCCTCAAAGAGATCAGTGAAATGGGAATAGAACTACTGTAAGTTCAGCGGGTTCAACACCAGTTCCAAGTACAAAGTCAACTACAAAGCCTGCTAGTAATAAAGACACCGCTAGACAAGGAAGAGTGTTTGCATTGGTCCCGGGTGACGTGCAAAATACTGGAATAGTGGTGTCAGGTACAATTACTGTTCACAGTCATTCTGCTTATGTGTTGTTTGATTCTGGTTCTACCTAGTCATTTGTGTCAAAAATGTTTGTCCGAAATTTAGAAAGAACTGAGGAATTATTACCTTATGTATTGTGTGTGTCTTTACCCTTGGGGGATTCTATGGTTTGTACTTCTGTTTTATTTTGCTTGTGAACTCCTAATTGGAGAAGTCCGGGTATATGCCAACCTGCTACTTCTTGATATGACTCACTTCGATATTATTCTAGGAATGGACTGGTTAAATGAGTAGCAAGTGACTATTGATTGTGCAGCTAAGCAGATGAGTTTCCACCCTCCGGGGCAGTCAGAATTCACTTATAAGGGGCATGGAGTGACCTCTCCACCTTATCTAATTTTCGCAGTGAAAACATGCAGATTGTTACAGAAAGGGTGTCAGGGGTATTTGTGCAGTGTCTTGGAGGGGCAAACAATGAATGAGGGTACGGATATGATTCCAGTTGTTTGTGAATTTCCGGATGTCTTTCCAGAGGAGTTACCAAGGCAGTTAGTAGACCGTGAAATTGAGTTTATGATTGAAGTGGTACTGGGAACTCAACCCATTTCTAAAACCCCGTATAGGATGTCACCGGTTGAGATGAAAGAATTAAAGATTCAATTACAAGATTTACTTGATAAAAGGTTCATTCACCCAAGTATTTATCCTTGGGGTGCACCAGTCCTGTTTGTGAAAAAGAAAGATGGAACTCTCCAATTATGTGTGGACTACAGGGAGCTTCATAAGGTAACTATCAACAATAAGTACCCATTACCCAGGATTGATGATTTGTTTGATCAGCTACAAGGAGCGCAAGTTTTCTCAAAAATTGATTTACGGTCTAGATATCACCAACTAAAGGTCAAAGCTGATGATGTTGAGAAAACAGCTTTTCGAACCCGATACGGTCATTATGAATTTTTGGTTATGCCCTTTGGAGTTACCAATGCACCGGCGGCGTTTATGGATTTAATGAACCATGTCTTCAAGCCATACTTGGATGAATTTGCAGTGGTGTTTATCGGTGATATTCTTATTTATTCAAAAGACACCGAAGCTCATAAGAATCATCTCAGGTTAATTCTTCAAACGCTTCGAGATAAGAAATTGTATGCAAAGCTAAAGAAATGAAGGAAGGTGTATCTGTTAATCCACACAAGATTGAAGCAATTATAAATTGGCCAACTCCTACTAATGTGACTGAGGTGCGTAGTTTCTTGGGATTAGCTGGGTACTACCAAAGGTTTGTAAAAGATTTCTCCAAAATCGCCGCGCCACTTACTCAATTGACTCAAAAAGGAGTTGTGTTTGAATGGTCCGAACAGCGGGAATCTGCCTTTTGGGAATTGAAAACAAAGTTAACTACAGCACCGGTTCTTGCTTTACCATCTGGCACTGAAGGATTCGTGATCTACAGTGATGCTTCCTATAAGGGACTAGGCTGTGTACTTATGCAAAATGGGAGAGTCATCGCTTATGCTTCCCGACAACTTAAACCCCATGAAAAGAGCTACCCCATACACGATCTTGAGTTGGCAGCGGTGATCTTCGCTCTAAAGATATGGCGGCACTACCTGTATAGTACTACCTGCGAAGTCTACACTGACCATAAGAGCCTCAAGTACCTCTTTACCCAAAAGGAGTTGAACATGCGGCAGCAACGATGGTTGGAACTTATTAAGGACTACGACTTACAGATCCATTACCATCCCGGTAAAGCCAATACAGTTGCAGATGCACTTAGTCGGAAAGGTGTGGGAAATGTGGCAAATTTGTTTACGGGGCGAAAGGAATTATTATTTGAATAGGAAATAATGAATATAGACCTTTTGATGTGTGAACAGGATGCCATAGTAGCAGCAGTGGCAGCCCAACCGACATTAATCGAATAAATTAAACAACGGCAGATGAAAGATGAGTCTTTGAAGAAGATCTGTGATGAGTTAGCAACAAAACCAAGACTCGGATTCAATTTTGTCAATTCGGTGCTCAAGTTTCAAAACCGATTATGTGTTCCCAATGTACCAGGGATTAAGAAGAATGTGATGGGAGAAGCTCATGCCTCAAACTTTTCAATACATCCCGGGAGTACTAAGATGTACCGAGATTTAAAGCAAATTTTTTGGTGGCCAAATATGAAGAGGGAAATTGCGGAATTCGTCTCAAAATGTTTGCAGTGTCAACAAGTAAAGGCAGAGTATCAGAAACTGGTAAGGTTGCTGCAACCCCTTCCAATTCTGGAGTGGAAGTGGGAACATTTGACCATGGACTTCATTGTAGGTTTACCACGAACTTCTCGGGGCATGAACTCTATATGGGTCATTATAGACCGGTTAACTAAATCTACCAATTTCTTACCCGTGAAGACTCAGTATAACGCGGATAAACTAGCTGTGATCTATGTGAATGAAATTGTAAGACTTCATGGTATTATAGTCTCAATTGTATCAGACAGGGATCCGGAATTTGTGTCGAGGGTTTGGCAAAGTTTACAGGATGCGATGGGTACAGAGTTAAAGTTTAGTACAGCCTTTCACCCTCAGGCAGATGGGAAATCCAAGAGAACAATACAAACTTTAGAAGATATGTTACGGATGTGTGTCTTGGATTTTCAGGGAAGTTGGGAAATTCATTTACCGTTGGCAGAGTTTGCGTACAATAATAGTTATCATTTGAGCATTGGAATGGCACCTTATGAAGCCTTATATGGAAGACCATGTCGCTCATCCGTGTGTTGGGCTAAAGTCGGAGATAAATCATTGTTAGGGCCTGAAATTGTGCAGTTGATGACTGAAAAGATTAAAACTATTTGGGAAAGATTGAAAATCGCTCAAAGCAGACAAAAGAGTTATGCGGATAACCGACGAAGAAATTTGGAATTTGAGGTGGGTAACCATGTGTTTGTGAAGGTCACTCCGATGAAGGGCCACCCCAGATTCGAAAAAAGGGGTACGTTAACGCCCCGATATGTGGGTCCATTCCAAGTTCTGGAGAAAGTGGGTTCAGTAGTGTACCGAGTTGCTCTTCCACCAAGCATGAGCCAAGTACATAACGTATTTCATGTGTCGATGCTTCGAAGTTACCTCCCAGATCCGTCTCATGTTATAGATTACCATCGAATCACCTTGGATGATAAGTTAACCTATGATTAGAAACCACTCCAAATTCTGGACCGACAAGTGAAACAATTGAGGAATCGGGAAATCCTAATGGTAAAAATTGAATGGCAAGAACATTACGGAATCGAAGCCACTTGGGAAAAAGAAGAAGAAATGCAACACCAAGATCCAGAATTGTTTCAATCATAAGGTAAAACAAGTTTGAGGGACCAAACTTTTAAGGGGGGTAGAGTGTAATAACCCGACCCTCCTACATGTTTTCTGGTATGATTTTAGTCCCTTACTATGTGCATTTACATGTTTCATGCGAAATTCCATGTGGAATTAAGTTTAATTGTGTGAATCTTATGCTTATAGATTTATATCTATTTATTATGAGAAATATTTGTTACAAGTGCGATGACTAGATCAATAATTGAAAGCCTTAGAAGCTTAATAATCCGAAATTAACTTTATAATTGTGATCAGCATGATTTTTAGATCATAACATGCGTTTTTGTAAAAATTCAATTTGGAATGATTAAATTGATTAATTTATAATAAATATTTACATTGTGTCTTGAACTCCCTTTTTGGGGTCACTTGACATATCACTTAGAAATATCTTCTGAGAGAGAGAAGAAGTGAGTGTAGAGGAGGAGAGAAGGTAGAGAAAATCTCAACAAGGAAGAAGATTGGGAAATTGAAGAGGATTGAGGAGTTTTGAACCCAAGGTATGTAAATCTACTTTGAATAACCTCTTTCTTGGATTTGGGTAGGAATCTCTTGGCACTCTTGGGAATTAGGGTTTGTAATTGAGAATATGTATGTGTTAATTATTGGGTTGGAGTGATGTTCTCATCATTTGGTTATTTAGAATCATTTGGAGTTATATGGAAGGGTTATATCTCATTCCTTGATTTCTCATGTTGACTTCTCATGAATTTACATATATTGTTTATATATCAATGATAACCATGATCACAAAGGAATTAAGTTGTGTTTATGAGGTTGAAGGGATTAAAAAAAACCTAATTGAACTTATGAGTCATGTTTATGGAGTTGTTATATCCTAAAGTTACATTAATGTCCCCCTTCTTCTACTCTTTAATGTGATTGTTTTATTGAAATTGTGCTTTGATCCGGACTGCCCAAAACAGGGACAACGACCGCACGTGCGGGGGTCATGGCCGCACATGCAGGAAGCACCACTGCACGTGCGGGGCTCACAGCCACGTGCGGAAAACAGGGGTTTTCGAATTGAAGCTACAGGAATAAAAACACGTGCGGGGCGCATGTGCGGCCCATCTTCCCGCACGTACGGCGAAGGCTCTCCGCATGTGCGGCCCAGGTGGAAAAATTATGCGGGCTCCGTTTTCTTTGTTTGACCCTCTGAGATTTCTGAAAAGTGTATTTGAAGTATTTAAAATGCTTACAATTAAATGTATGTCGAACAAAACGAATATTGATTAAAAGGAAAAAAATGGGACTAATCTCTGAACTACTTGTGTGTAGGTCACATACTGGAAGGAACTATAGTAGCATCACAGCACTGTGAGTAATAGTACTGTAATGACATGCTTCGTTTATTGTTAATAGCTCTTATTAACGTTCTGTTCTCTATAAGTTAATTATGTCGTGCCATGTTGAACAAGTGGAAACTTATATGTGTTATTGAACGATGAGATCCTTAAGAACTTGAAATTATTCTGCTTTGT